ATGTCACATCCTGCAGTGTCTCCAGTCAAGGACAATCTGAATCTTTGGGGCCCGAGCCGGGGAGCCAAGAAACCCCAATGGAAACGAGATCCGACTGTAATATTTTAACCCTCTGCTCCACATCATAGCCTGCCCACATCGCTGTTTCTTCCAGCCTGGACCGATCTCTGCGAATAGTGCACGATGTGGCAGACGGTGCTCAGGTATTCGTGGGAAGTGCCCTGGCCACCTAAGACGATGCTGTAAAATTATTTTGCCCAAAGGAAGATTATCTGGTCCTAGCACCGATCATCTGACTTCATCGTTATTCAAGCGATGCTCCCACCATTCGCGGGCGATGTTGCACAAACAGCGGTTGTCGAGCCTGATGGTCGCTGGACGTGATCTGCTCTGAGAGGCCAGATCTCGCAACCATAGAGAAACACGGTGCGTACCGTTGCGAAATACACACGCCCTTTCAGTGAAAGGGATATATCGCGCCGGTGCCAGAGATGCCTCAGATTAGTAAACGGTAATCTAGCTTTGATTACGCGTTGAGAGATCTCCTCACCCACATCTCCGCCAGCCGTTGTGCTACTCCCTAGGTAGACAAAGCTTTCGACTACTTCCAGATTGTCATTACCCAACGAAAGTACAGGAATGGGTTCCTGCCAATCTTACAACAACACTTTGCACTTTGAAGGTGCAAATGACATACCGTAGCAAGTAACCGTAATTGCCAAACGGTTCAACGACTCTTGAGCCGTTGGCGCGTTGTCACCCAGTGAGGCAATATCACTGGTATATCCTGAGTTTATGACTCTGTCCACAGGAAGAAGCTCGAGGCCAGCGTTTGTTACGTTATATAACGTTTTTTGTAGGACATCATCTATGGCAAAGTTGAAGATAAACGGAGAGATAGGGCAACCCTGTCGTACCCCATTGATGACAGGAAATGAGGGTGAAAATTCACCATAGGCCCTAACCTTCCCCGAGGTCTGGTAATAAGGCACCTTTAGAGTTGAGACATACTTCTCGGGTACTCTGTATCCACGCAAACAGTTCCATAGTACGGGGCAATAGATAGAGTCGAAAGCCGCTCTGATGTCCAGAAACAAGACATTGCTTTTTGTCCGTATGCGTGGCGGTGTTCTAGTAGATGACGGAGGGTGAAGATTCGATCTACGCATCCACGGGATGTACGAAACCCGGCCTGCTCCTTGCGAATTTGCTTCTCACGGAATGGGCATAACCTGCGTAATAAACGCACACCAGAAGCTTCGGCGCCATTGGAATCTGTGGTTAGAACAGGGGTTGTGACAGCCCTTCTTGTAAATGGGCGTAACAATCAATTCTCCCAATGTGTGGGGATCTTCGAGAACAGTCTCACAAATTCTCTTACCAGAGCATCTCCACCATCTTTAAAGAGGGCAGGTGGAAGATCGTCTGATCCAGCTGCCTTGTGGCGTTTCAGGGCTTGGAGTTCCTTTCGGATCTCCGCTTCTGTGGACGGTCCCGTGGATAGTGACCAGGGTGCATTCTCAAGAGAGCTGCTTGGAGCAGCCAACGCGGGGGTTGGTTGGACTGCGATGTGAAGTGGTCCGGCCAGCGTTCCAATCGCCGGTGAAGGCTGTTTATTAGCGTGGCATCTACTTTGCAGACTGTTTCACTGACGCACTGTCTTTTGATGTCTGTAGCACGGATGAGCTGGAAGACTTTCCGGGTGTTTCCACACCTATCCGCCGATTCCATCTCCTTTGCACGTAGCGTCCACCAGGCCTCTCTGTCGTCTC